ACGTAGAGTCCTCCGATGTCATAAAAGTGGCTATTTGACTGGCAGTTTGAATGTGTGCATCTGGAGCTTAAACGTGAGAATAATGAAGCTAGCGTGATAGATGAGTTTTCCTTCTTGCCAAAGTAAAGACTGCAAATGAGAAAGGAGGTAGAGCTGCAGTTCTCAACCTGTGGGTCGCAACCCCTTTGGGCTCGAACGACCCTTTCACAGGGGTCGCCTAAGACCATTGGAAAACACATTTCTGATGGTTGGGGGTCACCACAACATGAGAACTTGTATGAAAGGGTCGCGGCATTAGGAAGGTTGAGAATCACTGAGCTGAAGTAAGAGAAGCCTTGAAAACCTGGAATGTTTGTGGTTGGGGCAGGAAGAGGAACTGGGAAGAACATTGAGAAGGAGCAAATGAGGGAAATAGGGAATATGGCATGAAAGCCAAGGAAAAAGTAAATTTCAAGAGGAAAGGTTTCAGTTGTGTCCGTTTATATTTTTGAAGTCTGATAACTGAAAAATTTAGGTTTGATTGGGTGACATGAAGGTCATTTGTGAATATCAAGATTCATTTTGATGAAGTGGAAAGAAGCTAGATATAAATGGTTTGAAGAGAATTCAGTTTACTAAGTTAAGCCATACTAGCCTAGTTTATGGCAATGTTTGCAGCTTTATGACATCCCTGTATATTTTACCTTGTTAATTACCCATATATTGAAATCGTTTTTATTCATAAGCAACTGAGTGTACAGTGTCAGAGTCACTGAGAAGTATAGGGAAGATTTTTGTGCTCTTCGTGGAAAACTGTGATTGTTAGAAATTCTACAGCCTTTGGGTACTAGAATATTACTATTAGTGAAACACCTAGGGATGGTTTTTCTAACCTTGCCCCTATTTTTCTAAATGTGAAAATGTTGCATTGCAAACTGTCTTAAGTGATCTCGTGCTGCAAAACCAGAAAAACCACAAGTGGATTGGTTTTTATTCACATATTGAACTTTCATAGTGTAGGAGTCTAGAGTCTGAAGTCAAGGGGCCAGCTAGGAGCCAAGCCTTCTCAGTGTAGAGACTTGGTCCAAAGGACATGCTCTGCTCCTTGGCTCCTCTTTCTGGGCGGTAGCAGACATTCCTGATGTGTACTCACTTGTTTCACTTTTTGTATCTCAAAGGAGATTGAGTCAATATACAAGCTCGTCCTTTAGACTGCACCCTGACCTATTGACATAAATGACACCAATTCAGCCTCAGGAGCACCATAGAGGTTATGGTTTGCAGCACATTAAGATAATTACATCACACCAAAACATAGGAGATGCTTAAGTACTACTGAGAATCAAGGCTTCAGTGAGCTTACACATATTTTTGGAGAAAACAATGCAATCCATAGCAAAGTCTGTGGTGTTTTTCAAAGAAACTTCTTGTCAATCGGTATCACTTGAGTGCTTGTATGATTGTTTTTCCAGCAAAGAGACTTTGGTTGTCAAAGAGAAAATCAGTAAAGTGAGTTCTTTAGAAGAAATTCCATTTCAGTGTTGTTGTTTCATTTTGAGAAATATGTGTGTGGTAAGCTTAGAGCTTTTTTTACTTCTACTTAAGACTAAGAAACCCACCAAAGTACCAAAGGTGTAGTGTCCACTGCCACCACTGCTTCTTAATATATAGTGTTTGAAAATATTAGTTCATATACATGCACACATATAAAGTGGATGCTATGATGGAAGAAAGCATCTTTTAGAAATTTTATTAAAAACAATAAAGTAATAGAAATTAATTTGATAAGAAATTGGAAAAATCCCTTGAGGAAATCATTAAAACACTATTGGAAGAGAGAGTATATGGAAATTCTAAATTCTGTACAATTTTTGGTAAACTTTAGGTTTATAAACTGCTCTAAAAATTATGCTTATTTATAAAAACTCTACTAAGGGCACAGAAGAAAACTCAATCTAATGGGCAGGCATAGCCTTTTCTTTAGTAAAGGGCTCCTAACCAAACCATAAAGATCAATTTTCCTTAAGTTAATAAGTAGTTAAAATAGCCCTCTCCTCTAATAGTCCTTATTGCCATGAAGGTAATTCCAGGTGGGACTGGGAAGAGCAATCCCAGAGGGGTCTCAGGTTGTGATCTGTGTGGGAACAGACGACTGCATCTTTTTCCCTTGGGGCAGCTAAAGTGGCTTCAACCCTGCCAACCTTTCAGGTAGCTGCCAAGCACCTAGACCACTATGCCCACGGGGCTCCTTCTTCTAACCCTAGAGACCCAGTTCTGAAGTCCATGAAAAGTGAATGAACCAGTAAATAAAAAAAACATGAGAGAGGCATTAGCCCTGCCAGATGATAAAATTAATAATAAAACTTTTAATAGTTAACAAGTATCATTTGATTCTGCCTCATGAGTAGTCAGCCCAATGGAACAGAAGTTCTAGACATGGCCCTATTATTAGAAAAATGATTAAGAAACATGGCCAAGAAAGGGTGAACTTTTCTTCAGTAAATGGTGTTGGGAAAATTGGCACCCTTCTAGAAAAATCTATTAATGTAAGTTTATTTCTGGACTTTCTGCCCTGTTCCTTGGTATATATTACTGCTATCACCACATGATCTAGATCCCTGTGGCTTTGTAGTCATTTGTGAAATTGAGATGTGAGTTCTCCCACTGTTTTCTGTCTCAAGATTGTTTTGTCCAGTCTTGTATTTCCATATGAATTTTATGATCAACTTGTCAATTTCTGTATTGAAACTGTAGATTAGTTTGAGGTGTATTTCCATCTTAACAATATTAAGTTTTCTTATCCATAAGTACCATGCAGAGTTAATTTAATTATAATCGATTCTTTACTATTCTCATTCATTTTTTCCCATTGTTGAAAAAGGATTTTAGCTTTTGACCTTAGCTCTTTCATCCACATTCTCTATTTCACACTCTACAGCTCTTCTTTCTCTTCATTTTTTAAAATCATTTTATTAGGGGCTCTTATCACAATCCACACGTACATCAGTTGTGTAAAGTACATTTGTACATTCATTGCCCTCATCCTTCTCATAACATTCGATCTCCACTTATTTTGTCATTTCTAAAAGCAGTACTCCATACTCTCCTTCCTCATCCTGGTTCTGCGCAGGTCTTGTTAATTTGGTTATTCCCAGTTTCCATTTCTCATCTTCACTTGCGCCTGCCTTTCTGCTCTCACACAGTTCCATCTCTTTGAACAGTGCGTACTCTTGAATTATTTGACTAGACTGTTCCTTTTCATCTCCTTCTCACTTCTTTCATTTCTAAATTTCCTTCATGAAGGGTCTACACTCCCATTGCTTCACCCCCATTTACTTGCCTTCGAGGCAGTGTTGTAGCATTAGGCTACCACCCAAAGACACCCAGGTCTTTCCAGATGCCTTTAACTTTGTGTGCTTTAAATTTTCTCTGAACTCACTAGCAGTGAACCTGCAAGTTCAACAGTTTACTCCTGTACACCTCAATGTGTCCTCCCCCCTAACCCCATAATCATTTCGTAAATATTTGGCTTTAATGACAGGCATACACTCTTCTCCAAGTACTACTCAGTCTCAATTCTTGCAAATCTTCAACATAAAAAGAACATTTTCTAAATCATACCTGGAAGAGTTGGGCTGCTAACCGCAGGGTCAACAGTTTGAAATGACAAGTTCCTCTAAGGGAGAAAAAAAATGAGGCCTTCCACTCTCAGAGTGACAGCCTTGGAGCCCACAGGTGGGGCTCTACCCTGTCCTGTGGGTCTCGGGAGTTGGATGTGACTCGAGGACAATGAGCTCTGAGAAATCATACCCGCATGTAGTAATATTTTTTCCCTCACTTATGTGAAGGGCTTCAAAAAGTTCATGGAGAGAATCCATTTTCTTTTTAACTCCATTTTTCCACTAAGTTTTTGAAGCCCCTCATATTCCGTAGTAATCATCATGTATGCCATTCACTTGGGACTTACAAGTTATACAAGGTATTTTGAGCTACATAAAGATAAATTACACATACTCTGATCTAAAAATATGTGATCTGGGAAAATCATAGAAATGCACATTGAATTAGAAAGGTACAGATGAAGTCTTGTGGAAATTTCAAAGAAGATGAAGCTACCTTTCCCCCAGGGAATAAGGCAAAGAGGAGATGATTTGAGTCTTGAAGGAAATGCACTGTCTGATAATACAGAGGTGGACATTCCTGACTAAAGGAAGTGTGAACTAAGGCCAAAGAAGTAGGAAAACATGAAGTATTTTTATTTGGCTGGAGGAAAGGGCTAGTAGTGAAGCAGTGAGATATGAGATTGCAAAGGTAAGTCATAGCTGGACCTTGTCTTACTGTTTTTTTGATTATACGTGTATCTTGGTTTCTCAGTTATGTTATGAATCTTTGAATTGAAGAGAAGTGATGTCATATACTTTTAGCCTCTTACAGAAGAGTTCTGGATACAGGAGAAATATTCAGTTAAATGTTGAGCGTATGGAAGGTGGAAACAGAAAGATAGTAGTTTTGCAAGTAATTGTTAATCAAGATAACCGCTTGTCACATACTTCTCTTTACTTAAACTGTGGCTTTATCAATGAAAACTATTTCAGCTCTCCATAATAGTTCCTTGTGGCTAAGAAGTGATAATGGAATTTTTATAAATTTAATACTTTCAAAATTAGTGATTAAAGACATTCAGCTACTCTGCTAAAACAGTGTTCATACTGTTACACGTTCCTAGTACTGCTGGTTTCCAATAAAATTATAGTTACATGCATATAGAAAGGCCAGGAAATTGAGTATGCCTGGTTTCCCCTGCTTCTGTCTACTGGCATATTCTAATTTTCATTTTTGTAAAGCAAAATAGACGTACTCTAACTTGGAGAGTATATTTAGTAAAATGCAATTTTTTTCCTCATTTAAAAAGGGAAATTTATCATGCCAACTTCCAAAAGCAATTTATATTAGAAATTGCTATAGGAAAGCAATTCATTAACAATATTTGTTTTGTTTTAAACTTTTTATATCATGCATAGGTGAAAAACCGTTTCGCTGTGATGAGTGTGGTATGAGGTTCATACAAAAATACCATATGGAAAGGCATAAGAGAACTCATAGTGGGGAAAAACCTTACCAGTGTGAGTACTGTTTACAGGTAAGAGATGATTTGAAATTCACGATTTATTACTAGAGCTACTCGAAGAACTTCACAACTATCATTTGTTAGATTTGTCATAGGAAACAAATTTGGCAAATTAGTTTGAAATTATATGTGTTATTATATATTCATATTAATTTTTATTTCTTTTTTTTCTTGGTTGACCGAAACAATCAAAAAACCCACTACTGCCCTCTGAACCGACAGTATTTTTCCAGAACAGATCGTGTATTGAAACATAAACGCATGTGCCATGAAAACCATGACAAGAAACCAAGCAGATGTGCCATCAGAGGCGGCCTTCTGACGTCTGAGGAGGATTCTGGCTTTTCCACATCACCAAAAGATAATTCACTGCCGAAAAAGAAGAGGCAGAAAGCTGAGAAAAAATCGTCGGGGATGGACAAAGAGAGTGGTCTGGACAAATCTGATTTGAAGAAAGACAAAAATGACTACTTGCCGCTGTACTCATCAAGTACGAAAGTAAAGGACGAGTACATGGTAGCAGAATACGCTGTTGAAATGCCACACTCTTCAGTTGGGGGATCGCACTTAGAAGACGCATCAGGAGAAATACACCCACCTAAGTTGGTTCTTAAAAAAATTAATAGTAAGAGAAGTTTGAAACAGCCACTGGAGCAAAATCAAACTATTTCACCTTTATCCACATATGAAGAGAGCAAAGTTTCAAAGTATGCTTTTGAACTTGTGGATAAGCAAGCATTACTTGACTCAGAAGGCAATGCTGACATTGATCAAGTTGATAATTTGCAAGAGGGGCCCAGTAAGCCTGTGCACAGCAGCACTAATTATGATGATGCCATGCAGTTTTTGAAGAAGAAGCGGTATCTTCAAGCAGCAAGTAACAGCAGCAGAGAGTACGCACTGAATGTAGGCACCATAGCCTCTCAGCCTTCAGTAACCCAAGCAGCTGTGGCAAGTGTTATCGATGAAAGTACCACAGCATCTATATTGGATTCCCAGGCATTGAATGTGGAGATAAAGAGTAACCATGACAAAAATGTGATTCCAGATGAAGTGCTGCAGACTCTGTTGGATCATTACTCCCATAAAGCTAACGGACAGCATGAGATCTCATTCAGTGTTGCCGACACTGAGGTGACTTCCAGCATATCAATAAATTCTTCAGAAGTACCGGAGGTCACCCAATCAGAGAATGTTGGATCAAGCTCCCAAGCATCCTCGTCAGATAAAGCCAACATGTTGCAAGAGTACTCAAAGTTTCTGCAGCAGGCTTTGGACAGAACTAGCCAAAATGATGCCTATTTGAATAGCCCGAGCCTTAACTTTGTGACTGATAACCAGACCCTTCCAAGTCAGCCAGCGTTCTCTTCCATAGACAAGCAAGTCTATGCAGCCATGCCCATCAATAGCTTTCGGTCAGGAATGAATTCTCCGCTAAGAACAACTCCAGATAAGTCCCACTTTGGACTAATAGTTGGTGATTCACAGCACTCATTTCCCTTTTCAGGTGATGAGACAAACCATGCTTCTGCCACCACAACACAGGACTTTTTGGATCAAGTGACTTCTCAGAAGAAAGCCGAGGCTCAGCCTGTCCACCAAGCTTACCAAATGAGCTCTTTTGAACAGCCCTTCCGTGCTCCGTATCATGGATCAAGGGCTGGCATAGCTACTCAGTTTAGCACTGCCAATGGACAGGTGAACCTCCGGGGACCAGGGACAAGTGCTGAATTTCCAGAATTTCCCTTGGTGAATGTAAATGATAATAGAGCTGGGATGACATCTTCACCAGATGCCACAACTGGCCAGACTTTTGGCTAAAAAAAAAAACAACCCATGTAAATAATACTGGCACTTTAGAACAGATTAATCAAGAGTGGGGTTACTCTGTGTGAGATGGAGTGCTGTACAGATTTAAGAGCAATGCGTTATAACAAGTTTAAGCTGATAGGAATAGCAAGATAATGCAGTACCTGCGTTTTGTTTGGTTAGTCAGCATTCTTTGAACTGCCTTATACGTTGTGTCACCGTTATAGAAGCGATGCATCACTTGTTTTAGATCAGAACCTTGCTATTCTACCTACACCAAGTTAAAAAGGAGGGGGAAAAAAGACTTTCGCACAATTGTTTCCTAACTGATATCCTGTACATTCTTAGGAGATTAGTAATTGTGTGAAATTTACTCATACTGTTTGTAATTTTTACAGCGTAGTCATTGCACTTCAGCAGGGAATCTGAGTATACTTTACAGAGTGAACTTAAAAGTTTCAATGTCAAGAAATTATGGCTTAAATAAATTAGTGTGTCCTATAGGGCAAATAAACAAACCAAGAAAAACCACCTTTTAAAAAGAATGATATGCCATATACCCTTGATTTTCATTTTGCATTATATTGATATGTGTTTTTTTGAAGAAAAAAGTAATAAAAAATCTGATAGTCTAAGACTCCACTATTTAAAAGCCTAATTACTTTTAAAATATGCATACTTTCAAAACTTTTACCAAAATACACAACTATTGAAGCATTCACTTCTCTATGGAAGTATGCATATTGGTGTTAGTTTCTTTGTACAGTTGTACCTAGATATTTTTTATGATTTTTTTCATGTGCAGGTATCAAGGTTTTGAAGTTTTAGTAATAAAATATTCTGTAGATTACATTCCCAAGAACATAATGCTTACACAAAATGTATATTCCACGTTTTAAAGCTTAATTGTATTTTACTTTACATATACACTTCAGTTAATATAGAGCACTTAGAATCTATTTGGTATTTTTGATTTCTCAAAAGTAAAAAAATAATAATGATTTAGATTTTTAGGTTTGATATGATTGTGTCATAATCATCTCAATGGACAAATTTTAATTTTTGGCAATAAAAGGAAATTGGTTTATCTTTGGAGCTGTAAAACCTGCTTTGATCCTTCTCTTTCTAGAGTCTCAATAGATTGGATAGTTAAACAGAATCCAGAGAACTAAAGAAATGGGCATTTTAATTGCTTATTTTATCTTCAGTTACTTTTTTAATGAACATTATTCATTGCAATTTTACAAACCAAAAGTGTTTACTAATTCTAGTAACAACAATTTCTTTTTCAGCTAGATGAGTGATCGGAAATTTTTTGTTGCATTTCAAAATCTAAATAAACTACAAACTTTATCCTTATACCATGAATGTTTTTTTTAAAAAAATACTTTGTCTTAAAATAATACAGCATGGTACAATAAATAGTGATTTTTATATATCTCTATATCTCTATCTATCTCTATATATACACACCTTTCTGAAGAATGATGGTTTGAGTTGCATATTGGACAGTTTTCATTTTTGGCAAATAATATACTAATTCTACCCTTTTTCACTTTTCCCAACATTTTAGTTTTCTTATTGACAGTTTCCCCCATCTTTGTCACAGTACGCATACTGATAGAGCACCAGTGATAATCTAAAATTAATACCTCTGGAAGGTAAAACCTGTTGGTAATTTCCACTCTACCCTTCATGTTAGCCCTATGAATCTGTAGTCTTTGTTTCATCCTAGCATGTGTTATCCATTTAAATTATTTTTTCTTTTATTTAATGATATCCCAAGACTGTTCTCATAAAGACAGGGGAACGAGCAAATAATCACCTTACCACCCTTCACATTTATTTTGAATGTATTGGTGTGTCTGTAAGGAATATCAGTTATGTGTAATGTGGTTTCCGCTACACTTTGGTTATTAAAGCTTTGCTTGCTTGAAATACTAGTTGACAGCTTTCTTTGCTGCCCATTTTTGAAAGGAACTAGACTTCATTGGAGTTGATCCTGAAGTTCTGCCATATTGACTGAAGGTTGGAGCGTGTTGTGTTGTGTTGTGTTGTGCATCACAGTCGCGAGAAGGCTCCATGCAGGTGAGATCTAAAAGGAAAGTGCCCATACTAGCGAGGCGTGGATGTTTTCTACCCCGGTGTTTTTGATGATAGGAGGCCTTTACTCCCTGAGTTGGATTTTTTCAGCTCTATCAAAAATTGTGTTCTGTTGAGAACTGGATGCGGTTCTTGTTCCAGCATGAAGTTTTTTGTTTCTCTGTCTCAACATCACCAGCACAGTTTTTTGGAGTGTGACTCTCTTGCTGAGCAGGTAGGGCACAGAGAAGAAGGAAGGCCTTTGAACGTGGAAGTTATGCAAGCAGAAATCCAGCTGGCCCACTTCTCTCTCTCGGACACATTTCTTTAAATCTACATAACGGCAGACTTTTCTACCAGGTTATAAGCATTTTTTGAGATAAGTGATATTTAGCAGCATAAATTATTAACTTACCACTCAAGTATATTCATTACTTTCTTACTGTGAAATTATAAATGCCTACCAGGGTTACCTTGTATGATCATCATCGTAATAAAACATCTCAGTCACTTGGGTTTCCCCATTTTGGTTCAGAAGGTTATTTATTTTGTACCTGGGCATTAATAGAGAAAACGAGTAGCCTTGGGTGTGGCCGTAGGGTGGAGCCTTGGGGGTGTAAGGTACCCTTTTGCAGCTTGTGTTTTCTCATTTCTCTCAGTGAGCAAAATGGTTGTAGGAAAACATGCTCTTAACTCTGATACTTGTTCACAACATGTGTGAGGTGTGCTTTTCCACTTAGGACCTAGTGTCACGTGTGAAGATTGGAAACAGTTCACCTTCGGTGAGGTCACATCTTGAACCTCTTCTAAGTGTGTATGTCTTTTCTTCCTTGTGGTCTGTTGCACACGGATCTCATGTGGCTCCAGGTACCTGGCGGCTTCTCGGTCCCTGGACTCTACGTGGAGACTTTCCTCTTGGCCAGGAGGAGTTTGCTCAGCCCGCCAGCGATTGTCAGTAGTCCCGTCCTTGTAGCTCTTTCAGAATTAGAGCAGGCCTTGTGCTCAGGGTAGGTTTCATTTCCACAACAGAGAGAAATTTACAGAATGCCAGCTAGGTTAGATTTTAGCCACTTTCAGTTTATTTGGGTTTTTAAAGGGCTGTTTTTAAAAAGGGAAAAAAAAAAAGCCAGGAAATCTTAAAGTAGGCATTTCTGTAGTGCTACATTTCTTAGAGGATTTTGAACTAGAATTCTTGTTTTTTCCCCACGACATATTTACTTGAAGCACTATTACAGTAAAAAAGAAAAAAAATTGAGTCTGCAATTTAATTTAAACTTTTTCAATTTCAAATTGCTTTATTTCAGGGAAATATTTTCCAGTTTTTGCTATATCTGCAAATAAAAAAACCTTATGTTTCCTTTTTCACTTAAACTTTGGTAGGAAACAAACTAAAGCAGACAAACATTTCATTGTTGTGTTTGTTGCTTTCTTTAATCCAATGGATAAAAAAGTAAAACCCTGTAAACATTATTTTATTTTTTTATGCAATACCATGCTGTAAATATGGTTCATCAAATAAGGATGTACCTATGATTGAATCTTTACTTCTGCACAGTTAGAGTTTATATATAAACGTGTCTTGACAATCAAGGACTTTTATGTGAGTCTTCCTTTACAATGTTTTATTAATGTTATGCATTCCATTTGTTTTAAAGTGAGTACCAATGTGCTAATTTGTATTGTCTGGAAGTATGTAATGTTTTTACAGCTTGTTTTTAAGAATCTGTAAATATGTACAAACAAATCACTGCTTTATGTTAGAAGGCATATGATGTTGTACTGTATGTAAGCAATAACACATAGCAGTGCTAACTTTACAAGTAGCATCAGGAAAGTTCTAAAAACATTTCAGAGTTATCAATTATCCTTATTTCATTCAACAGTGATTACCTAATCAGTTTTTATAAGCAAAATTCCATTGTTCCTCCTATCGGAACGTAACACTGTTTACACAGCATGATTGAAGTTGCAGGGGAGACAGGCTAGCTCTGGCTTCGTCTGTACTCGCTTTCACTAAGCATCGAATGGCCTTACCACTCTTCTGCAAGAGGGAGGAAGACCGCAAAACTCAGTGCCCATCACACTGAAGGAAGGGGTGTGCTTTGTTTTTGTCTTCTTCCCTGCTCCTGTACTGCGAACTAACCTTGCGGTTTGCTTTGGGTATTAGCATTGGCTCCTGTGTTCATTCACACCCGTAAGGTTGAGGTGTCGTCAGCTCCATTGTGACGTTGCTAGTTCCCTTCATATTTCATAGCGTTATGTCAGCACTGCTGAACTTCTTACTTTGGTCTTTAGATACTTATTTTTCAACTGATCAGATGAATTTATTCAACTTCAATACAAAGAGACAAACCTAATGTAGTTTGAGTTGAGTAGATAGTATACTGTACAGAACGGCTAACTATTTGAACACACATCACTGCTTTAGAGATAAAGCCGCCAATTTATAAATGTATATGACCTACATTTTATAGGAGAAACGTTTTTAAATGCTAGTCATTTATATAATGTGCTTTGAAGGATTTGCTAGTCCACTTCTGTCACTTTTTAGTACACTGGTATCTTTTATATGTAATGTATGCTTTTTATTATTGTAGCAAAGCATTTCAGTAGAAAGAATTTTGCAACAATATGGGGAAACTTTTTTCATTGTTGGATTTGAATTATACTGGATTTTATCTGTGTAGTTTTACTTGTCTTTATTTTAATGCTGTCTGGAAGGGAACTTGGTATCCAAATAAAGCAGGTAACCTCATTTTATTTCAAGGGCATACTGTGTAGTGCTGAATTTAATCTGGAGATCTGATGATTTTGAAAAGGAAAAAAGTTTATAAAAATTGTACAGAAGAAATTAAATGTGTGATGGAAATCCTGATGATGGAGCACGTTGACTTTTCTGATACATAGTGTTGTTTTCCTGGGATCCCCTATGCCTTCTTTGTATCCCAACTGAAAAATGGGAGGGAAAATCCCTTCTCACTGACACTGGTAGGATAAGAGGACATTCTGATGATACAGTGTTACCTTTCCTGTCCCTTTCTCAATCACTGTAAATTAAGATGTTCTATTTCCTATCTATAATTAAACATGTACATACTAGAGACACTGTTGTATAGAACTGAATGAATTGGTTTGCTTTGCTTGATTGAGTAAGTGGAAATATTTTATGGATCCTGAGAATTCATAAAATGCCAGAGCAAACTTACCCGGGGAGACAGGGGTGGTGCGAGCACTGTGTGTGTTGAGAACCCTGACTGCCGGTGGTTTCTCCATCCCCAGGGTCCCACTGTGACGGGATCTACTGCAGCTTCACTCACGCTCAGAAACAAAGTGGGTCCCTCCCCCCCCCAAATATGCGCATGAAAGCTCAAAATCTACTCAGGTGAAAATTGTTTTGCAATGAAACTTATCACATTGGAATTTTCACTGTTAAATAACAAGATATTTGTGATATTTTTAAATAAATAAAAATAAACTTTCACATCAGTAGTCAGCAGCCTGACAGTTGACATTTGGTAAGTTGATATATTTTGAAATATATTTTGCCTTCCAAGTAGAATTGTTTTTGAACAATTGGGAGGGGTTTTTGTTGTTTAAATGCATTTTTTTAATTGTAAAAATAAAGTCTTGCTTGACCCCACCTGATGCCATGAATGGATTGACTGGGCATTATAAAGCAGTGAGAGAGAGAGGTGGTTTCGTGCTTAGTCAACGTGGAACACATGTCCTTTCCACTGACCTGCTCATTAAGAGGGTTAACAAGCTTCAGAGGCTCCTGGCTTTATGGTTTTCATGGAGTGAACCATGTGGGAGTTGATAATACTATTTAATGTATTGTGATAACTACAGGAAGTTTTTGTGCTTTGTTTTTTCATTGAATTTTAGAGTAATTTATATTTGAAAATTCCACATTGTAAATGTGGACACTGGCTGTTGGGGAAAAGTACAGAATCCAGGCTTTTAAAATAAACAACCTAGCTGTATTTTTCACAATATTCTAAACTAGATAATTAAAGGTAGACATACAGAAGCCATGGTGGGTAGACGATTTTAATATTAACAAAGACAAAGGGATTTCTGTGCAGAATAAACAGTTGGTCACACGGGGAGCGGTTGGCAGGACAGAGGGCACCGTTTTTGTGGAAGAGTCCAGTGTTGGTGTCTTTGGACAGGCCTGGACACGTGTAGCATAGAGCCAAGACTGTACGTGGTCCCTTCTGTTCAGAACAGACTCAGTTAACCCACCATCGGTGACATGCATACTTGAGATTTAAAATATAAGTAGATGAAGATTCGTTTTCATCCGTCTGCCACTTGGCCAGTCCTCTTATCTTGTGACTAGTGGCGTGCACTGCCCAGAAGCTGCAGTTGGAAATGCACTTTGGGTCTGTGGACTGAATGCATAGAAACTGGTCCCCCAGGGCCTTGGCCTTATTAGCACCGGGCGGTAACCAGTCCATCGAAATACCACTAATGCGTTTCCTAGATCCAAGTTTTTCTTGGGTGATTATAGGGATGGTGGGGGGTAGGTGGGCAGATACTCCATACTTCTAACTTCAGAATGAGAAGATTGCAAGATGAAAATAAAATCTCTTACAGTAATATGTTGTCATTGAGTCTTGATTGCCAACTGAAGCACAGAAGCATGATGAAGACTTTTATGATTTTGTTTGGATATAATTTTTTTTCAAAGTGCTGGCAGTTTACTGATTTTGGTCCTCCCCCCCACCCCCCCTTATGGACCAGGTAAGATATTGGGATAAGTCCTTTTAAGCCCATTTGTTGGCACAAGATACAAAGGAGTTGAAAAGTTTAAGTGAACTAATGCTAAAATGTAGGTCTCATAATGTTTGTTCTTTGGCATCCTTTTGAAGTGTCCTTAAGAGGACATTTACACCAAAACATCTTGTGCTTGCTCGGGCAGATGTATATGCATATGTTAAAGTGTATGCATGTATGTGAAGGTTGGGATGTAAAATGTGATACTGTAAATGAGAGTGACATTTTTAACGTGATTTTCAAACTATTGGGGAAATTCAGGCTTGGAAATGGCTTTGAATTTGTAAAACAAGAGCATTTGAGCCTTTGCCTACGTATTGACCACACAGATGAAATGTTGAACGTTGTAAGGTTTTTCATCTTTCTTAGCTTCTCCCTATCAGTAAGGTTTTGACACTGAAACTTGCGTCAGGGTATAGCAGGGGCAGAGGCAAAACAGCGCGTTGTCCGAGATGATTGCGCTCCGTTGATGTGAATAAACCCTTACTGGGGCCTAGGGCTGCGTTCAGGAGCCCTCGTGGGCTTCGTGTTGGGCTGCTAACCTCAAGGTCAGCAGTTCAAAACCACTAGCCAAGGGACAAAAGGGGTTTCTACTGTCAAGATTCTCAGCCTCGGAAACCCACAGGGGCAGTTCTACCCTGAGCTGTGAGTATCGACTGGCAGGGAGTTTGGGGAGGTCCTTCAGCAAGGTGGCGTCATTGATCACTTCTTTGGTAACAGCTGTTATTCTCAGTGGTGGGTGGGTGAGTTCTACGAGCATCTTTAATTTGAAGACCTGAAGGGCCTGTCTGTTGCACTTGATGAAAGCAAACGTGTGTGAAGATGTGTGGAGTGCTGTGCTGCGCTGAGAAACCTCTCCATTTCAAATGAATTTAGGAAGTAGTTCCCCATTCTAGGGTAGTAGAAATCCTGGAAAATGTATGCAGACCAGTACGACAGTACAGTAGCATTAGGGAACATTTTAAAAATTAGCCCTACTTAAAAATACCTAACTTGATGGATACGTGGTGGCAACGAGACTGGAGACCTGGTTTGCTGTACCGGAGAGGGGCCGTGTTGGCAGGCTGGTTGGGAAAGGGCAGGGTGGGGGCGGGCGCACTGGGGCTGAGTGCTCCTTCTGGAAGTAGGAAACTAAAGGGACCAGGGCTCTTGTCAGCTGTCCCCTGGGTTCTAATTCAGGGGGACTACTGACCGAAGGGTCTAAGCCCACGAGCCTCTGCAGGAAGAGGAGAAGGCTGGCGGCTCCCACAGATTTGCAGCCTTGGAAACGCTGAGTCAATCCACGCAGGGAGTGAGTTTCTCCATTCTAGAACTTTTTTTTAAACCGTTTTCACTGTAATACTTGCTATCTTAAATGCCTACCTTCTTGTTTCACGGGCACTCCACCATGCTAATGAAGCTTTTGTCATTGGCAATTGAGAGTGAAGGTATGGC